TTGCGGTCTCAGTGAGTGTGATATCATCAACTGAGTCGTTCTTTGCAATGTTTGCATCATTGGTCATCTCAGGATCTGCCGAAGCGATCTCAGAAGTGACAGGCTTACTGACCGGGGTCATGAAACTGCTATTTGCTTCCTTTTGGTTAGTTGAGTCCGGATCTGCTTCAGAAGCGATCACAGGGACACTGGGGGGTTTTGGTTGGGAACCATCACCAGATTGCGAACCATACGGAGGTGTTTCAATTGCAGTATGCTGAACAACCAGATCTACATTCTGGGCGTCGGAAGTCGGCTTTGAGGCCACCACCGAAGTTTTGAGAGCTGGAGATTCAGAGTCTGAAACAGTTGCCTTGGATAAGGCCTCTGTTGGAGAAGATGAACTCGGGCTCTTTGATGTAGGAGAACGAGATTTCTTGGCCTTCTTCTTCCCCTTCCCCATTAGAATAAGAGATGGAGAAGGCGCGTCTATTAACCGACGCCGGAGGAGACGCCGGCGATTTGCGTAGGTGGTCACTGTTGTCGGTGGATTTTGTGGCACCCGTCTGTTGCTGTCTCAGTGGTTCAGAAGTCACTTCAGATGATCACGTGCGAGGTTACTATACCGGGCCAACCTGCTTTCTTGGCCTCCATAGTGTATGCATCAAATTGTTATGAAGAAAGAAAGGATCTTTGGGAATCTATGGTGAATCTGGGAGCTTCTAATCTCTTAACGGGTAAACCTTGGATTGTGATGGGGGACTTTAACCAAACTTTATCACCTGAGGAGCACTCTCTCAACACTTCTCCTAGAGTTGACAAGCGCACTAGGCTTTTCAGAGACTGTCTTCTGGAGGCAGACTTATCAGACCTGAACTTCCGAGGCAATACCTTTACATGGTGGAATAAGAGTAAGACTTCACCAATAGCTAAGAAGTTGGATAGAGTTCTAGTGAATGATGAATGGGGAAATCATTTCCATACTGCTATGGCTTCCTTCCTCTCTCCAGATTTCTCGGATCATGCCCCTGTTACGGTCTCTCTGAGCATCAATTCACCTGTGTTGAAGCGCCCTTTCAGGTTCTTTAATTACTTGCTTCAAAACAATGAATTTCTCCCGATGATAGCAGAGAAATGGTTTTCATTCAATGTAACGGGATCTGCAATGCTGAGAGTTTCGAAAAAACTGAAACTGTTGAAAAAGCATATCAGGGACTTCAGCAGAATTAACTACTCTGGTATTGAGTTGCGAACCCAAGAAGCACATGTAGCTCTTCTAGAAGCCCAAGATAATACTCTTGCAGATCCATCCACAGCTAATGCAGAATGGGAGCTCGCGTGTGCTAGTAAATGGCAGCTACTCTCTAAAGCGGAAGAGGCGTTTTATTTGCAAAGATCATCGGTAAACTGGATCGGTTTGGGAGATGCTAGTACTTCTTATTATCATCGGTTGACGTCCTCTAGAAGATCAGCAAACCACATTCACTACCTAATGGATGATTCAGGCCGGAAAATTGATAATCAAGGGGAGATAGAGGATCATTGTGTGGAATATTTCTCTACCTTGTTGGGAGAATCTGTAAGTCAACAGCAATTTGAACAAGCAGACCTGGATCTGCTTTTTGATTTCTCCTGCACAGCCGACGAGTCTCTCAGTTTCTGCAAAGAGTTCACAAAGCAAGAAATTAAAGATGCTTTTTTCTCTCTTCCGACCAATAAGGCCAGTGGTCCTGACGGCTATTCTCCAGAATTCTTCAGAGCAGCATGGAGCATCATCGGTCCCGAGGTATCCCAAGCTGTACAAGAATTCTTCTTGTCTGGTAGCCTCCTAAAGCAATGGAATGCAACAACGCTGGTCTTAATTCCCAAGATCACCAACGCTTCTTCAACAACAGATTTTAGGCCCATTTCATGTCTGAATACGGTGTATAAAGTGATATCTAAGTTGTTGGCTCAGCGTCTCAAAGCGATCCTGCCTCAGATCATTTCTCAGTCTCAATCAGCGTTCATGCCGGGCAGACTATTGGCTGAGAATGTTCTTCTTGCGACAGACCTGGTACAGGGATACAACACAGCTAGCTCATCTCCTAGGGCTATGCTGAAAGTCGATCTCAGGAAAGCTTTCGACACTATCAGATGGGACTTCATTCTCGGTACTCTTAAAGCTTTATCTATTCCAACCAAGTTCATCGGGTGGGTCCATCAATGTTTATCTACGGCTACTTTCACCATCTCTGTCAATGGCAGCAATAGCGGTTTCTTTGAAAGCACAAACGGCATTAGGCAAGGAGATCCACTCTCCCCTTATATATTTGTTCTTGCAATGGAGGCTTTCTCCAGACTTTTACTGTCAAGGTTTGACTCAGGGATAATCGGGTATCACCCAATGACATCTGACCTGAAGCTCACTCACTTAATGTTTGCTGACGACGTAATGGTTTTCTTTGATGGAAGTACAAACTCGCTTCATGGAATATCTGATTGTCTGGATGACTTTGGCAGTTGGTCAGGACTGAAATTAAACAGGAACAAGACTGAGGTATTCACATCTGGTTTGAACGTTGTGGAATCCTTAGCTATTGACAGCTTCGGTTTCAACTCTGGTACACTCCCCATCAGGTACCTGGGCCTTCCTCTAATGAGCCGTAAGCTGCATATCGCTGATTATGACCCCTTGATGCAACAACTGATCAAACGATTTCGGAGCTGGGCTGTTAAGTCGTTGTCGTTCGCTGGGAGACTGGTACTCTTGCGCACAGTCATTGCTGGCACAGTCAACTTCTGGATTACGACGTTTATGTTGCCAAAAGGTTGTATCCGGAAGATAGATTCACTATGCTTAAGATTCCTTTGGTCGGGTAACATAGATGAGTTTAAAACCTCAAAGATAGCTTGGAGTACATGCTGCTTACCGAAAGATGAAGGTGGATTAGGTCTGCGATGTTTCTCTGCTCTGAACAAAGTCCTACTTTTACGCTTCATATGGCTATTATATTCTGCAAGCAACTCCATTTGGGTAAGTTGGCAAAGGCACTACCGTCTAGCGAATAAGCCTTTTTGGGCAATTGAGGAAACAACCAATGACTCTTGGACTTGGAAACAACTACTGAAACTAAGAGGTGAAGCGATGAACTTTTGCAAAGG